CATTTGCTTCAGTGATGCATCTGTTGGGAAGAGGACTGCACTCATTTAGGGAAATTTTTTCACTTCCATCCTTGGGTGGAGGGGAGACAGTAAGGGAACACGAGACTGGGATTGTGCCATTACTTCCACATGGCCAACTTTCTTCTCTTCCTCTGACAATTTTTGACATTTGCATTTAAAACACATTAGCATTTATTTAGATGTAGTTTTTGATGGTGCTTTTTGTTTGTTTGTTTTTAATGAGGTACTGGAGTTTGAACTCCAGGCTTCACACTTGCTAGGCAAGTGCTCTACCACTTACCACTTAAGTCATGTCCCCAGCCCTTTTTGCTTCAGTTATTTTGAGATAGGGTTCACTTTATGTCCGGGCCACCATGGACCACAATCCTCCTATTTATACTTCCTGTGCCGCTGGGATGACAGATGTGCTCCAGCACTCACTGGTTGAGAAGGTGTCTCACGACATTTTTCCCAAGCTGGCCTTCAACCACAATTCTCAGATCTCTGCCTCCCAAATAGCTAGGATTATTGGCTTGAGGCATTGCACCCACCAAGATGTATTTCCACAGAAATGCATTTTTGCTCTTTGAGTGGAATATTTATACCTCTAACGCCTGCTTCCACCCTTCTGCTCAGCCCCATTCAGTTGGCTCAAGCGTGCAATGTAGCTTGCGAGAGCTGGGGTAAATCTGCTCGTAATTCTGGTCCCAGAGGCTAGGTGGGACTGGGACTGCCCTTGGTGTTTACATTATCAGCTCTGCCCAGATGTTGGGAACAGCAAGTAATGGCCCACCTGGCTTTTGAGAAAGCTCTGGGGTGCAGATGGCATTTCTCTCTGTGCTGGAGCTGGTGAGTCCTTGGCTCTCCTTACGGCCTCCCATGTGAACTTTAATTCTGCCCTTGCAGTGTCTGCTTCCTTGCTATCTTCCTTCCCCCTCCACCTCTCCATTAGCTTCTGCTAGCACAATCTTACTTAGCAGTCTGGGTCTCTTTGTGGCCTCCTAGGAGCCAAGACTAAAGGTGGCTGCCTGTCCCTGCAGGGGCCTGTCCAGGTTTGCACTTTCTTTGAGTTTGTAGATGCTGCTCTCTGCCTCACTCTCTCCTTTTTGAGTAGGTCTCAGAACAGTCATCTCCATCCCTGCCTGTCCTCAAAGCAGGACCTGTTCAGACCAGGTGTTTGTCACACACTGGATCACCAGGTCCCCACTCTCTACCTGCAAAGACACATTCCCTCCTCACACCTGTGCAGCCTTCAGTGCTTGTTCCCTTTAAACTGAATGCAACACAGGGAAAACTGCAATCCCTTAACCTGGGCTTTCTGACTCAGTTCCCTCCCCACTGTGGCCCCTGTCTATACAGGACCCCATTCAGGACACCATGGTAAATTGTAAGAGTTTGCTTTTGTCTACAGGAGTCAAGATTGCATCATTTGGACCTTGACTTCTCAGCCAAGCCAGCATAGCTCCTGCATAGGGCCTCCTGGAGAGTTTTCCCACCAGGTTTTCCTTCCTGACAGTCTGCTGCCCCCCACCATTGGTTCCACACTTATCAGGGACACCCCTGCTGAGAATATGGGCAGAGCCCTAGAGACAAACTTATGGGGGGCTGTGCAGGCACCATTGTGCTGGGCTTCTGGGAAGGAGAAGCTACACTGTGATTGCAGTGGGGACAGCTTCCCTTGCAGCTCAGATCACGTGCAGGAGTGATATGTGCAGGAGTGACTGTGCCTAGGGGGCAGGCTGGGCCTCCCGCCTGCTTTTGCCAACTATCTCAAGCCATCTTTGATCAACACTCCAGAGCCTGGAGGAGCAACAATAGGAATGAGTTAGGTGCTCCATGCTGAAGTCTCCAGTGTCAGCTAGAGGAAAATAATCATCTACCTTGTTGAAGTCACAGAATTGGGGGATTTTGTTGTTATAGCAGCTTGCCCCATATGCTGGTTGGTACAGTGATCAGTGAATGGTACCTTCCTCTCCTCTCTGTGTGTCTTGGGGGCAGATTGGGCAGGGTGGGGCAGGAAGAATCCTTGGGGCTACATTTCCTGTTCTGCTCTATCCAGAACAGCTGCCTGGGGTCCTCCTGCTCTTCCTGATAGAAATGGTGAGAAGGTGAGGACCTCTTCCAGCTCTGGCAGTCCCTGTCCTTGAGTGCCCAGGTCTAGGGGCTGCACGGCAGACCCAGAGGCTCCCGGCTCCAGGCCTGAGGCTAGGGGCCTTCTGCTCCAGCCTTTGGCCACAGAGACCATGGCTCTGGCCACTCGGCTTGGGGACTCGCTGCTCTGGGCTTAACCAGCAGCCCGGCACTTGGCAGCTCTTGTAATCCTGGGCTTGCAGCAGCTGTGAGCAGCAGCAGCAGCAGGCAAGTCTGATGAGGGTCACAGCTCCTGAGCAGGCTTTTGGTGTTTGAACCCTCAGCCCTATAGTGACTAATGTTTCAACTCTTGGGCCTGGGGTGTCTAGACCCTTGGCCCTTAGGCTTGGTGGCTCTCTTCCAGTCTTCCAGCAACTAAGGCACGGTATCACATCTCTGGGTCTTCACAACCTTCTGTCTTCAGCCTCAGCCTCTGCCCCTTTTCCTGTCTACTTCCACATTGTCTCTCATGCCTCTGATCCCCACTGTTTCTGCCTCAGCTGCTCTCTGGAACTCTTCAGCCACCCTCTGGTTGCTACAGCCGCTACTGCCACCTCTACCACCACCTCTGCCACCTCTACCACTTCCCTGTCTCCTCTTCCTGTTACCAGCTCAGCCTGCTGTACTTCTAAATAAAGATCCAAAGTAGACAAGAAAAAGAGCTTGAGGGCATGGCTTAAAGCAGTAGAGCACCTGCTGAACATGCAGGAGACTCAGAGTTCAAACTCCAGTAACAAAACAATAACAAAAAAAGAAAAGAAATGACCACTGGAGAGAGGCCTTTTATCCTGCTTATACAGCCAGAAAGGGAGTGTGGCAAGGGTGTTTGCACCAATACAGCCAGTCCTCCATGCAAATGAAGGACTAGGTTTGCACCAATCACAGCATGATCCTTCATGTAAATGAAGGACTGTGTTTGGACCAATCACAGGCCTTCTGTTGAGCCACTGGGACGTGTTCCCCCTCTGGTCTGGGTGGAAATAGCTACAAGATCATCTAGGGTTCACCAAAGCTGTAATGGCAAAAAGTCCAGCACAAGCTGTTTGAAACAGTTGTGAATGCTGGGCAGCACTTTCTGGAGCCAGAGTTGTTCTTGGGCAGCAAGCAGCTGTGGCTGCCCTGTAACTTCCTCAAGGACTGTGTGGCATGTTCAAAGCAGCCAGCTGCCATGAGGACTGACAGTCTTCTACTCATGGCAGCTGGGCACCAGGGAAGGGGCTTAACAACTATTAATTAGGGAATCAAATCACCTAGCCCCCAACATCTTCACTTAAATACCGTTAGAGCACTGTTAATTTTAGTGATAGGTATTTAACAATCCTCTGCTCTTAGCCAAATACACTCAGAAGAGTGTCATTTGTCTGTCTCATGGCCTTCCAGATTCTTCTCCCAGCACAGACAATCACAGGGCACCTGGCTTACATCTTCAAGTCAACCATGCTGTGACCTGTGGCCTTTCATACTTATCTGTTCTGTGGGGTGAGAAGCTGCAATCTAGAGAGGCTCAAGAAACCCACCAACGCAGAGAGGAGAGGGCAGCAAGCAGTGTGGCTCCAATGGCCTGCTCTCTGCCTTGCTTCCCTCCAGCCCTTCTCAGCCAAGACCTCCATGAAGCAGGGGAGGGGTCTGGGAGTCCAGTCTGAGGGGTGACAGACATGGACCACCTCACATGCACTCCCTGTCCCAAGGTGGCCCAACATATCAGCTTGAGAGGTCAGGGTCAGGATGACTGGACTGCCGGGGCCATACACAGAGGTGAGGTGAGCAGGGCGTCTGTGTCAGTCATTGGCCCTGCAGGTACATGTGCTTATTCCTCCTCCAGTGTCACCATCCTGACCACACTCTCTTCTCATCCCTCCGATGTCACTCTTATCTAGAACTGCTTTGCCTGTTTATGAAGAAAATTTACACCAACGCCACTGGAAATCAATGCCTCATTTCCCCAGAGTATGTTTGTCCTCAGGGTACATCAGGTGCAAAGGTCAGAGGTCACAGTCTGTCAGAATGGGATGTCCAGTCCTGCCAGGTACTCAGGAAAGCTCAATGTCTACCAGCCTGCTCCACTGTACAGAATAGAGCGGGCAGTCCCCGAGCACGTGAGAACAGTGACCCCCACCTTCTGAGATGGACAGCTTCCCCCACACCCCCCACAGACATCTCTGCTGGAAAGCCACCTGTCTGCTGACTTAGATCTTGGAGGGGCTCACTGAGAAATGCTTACCTCAACCTGCATCAGTGAAAAAGGACCTCCCCTTCTACTGCTCACTGGTGAGCCAGGGCAGCCTTCCTACTGTGTACTTCTATCAGTTGAGCTGCTGACCCTGTCCACCTCCCTGGGGCCATTCTCACGGAGACCACAGCCTCCTCTTGTTCTCTGGCCCTGTCATCCCCAGCCTCCTATCCTGTACAGGACACGTGCATGGATCCACACAAGCATATCAGGGATTTGGGGAGGGCAGAGGAGGTGGCCTAACTCCACACACTGGCCACTCCGAGTGTCAGCACCGCCTGGTCAAAATTCCCATCCAGTCAGCATCACCCATGCATGTTGGAGCTGGGCGGGCCACCATCCTTGGGGAAGAGCAGGAGGGGGAAATGATCTGCAGGGTGCACACAGGAGGGGCACACTGGGGACTTGGACTGCTTGGCGGTGAAGACCCAGTGAGCGTCTCAAATGGCAACCAGGGAAGGAGGTGATTGGCCTGGCCTGAGGTGCTTCCCACAGGTGATACCAGAATATGGGCTGAAGAGAAGGAGGTCCAGGTGGGGACAATGGAATGAGTGGATTTCAGGGGGTCTCAGCCCCAGAATTATACCCACATCCCTGGAGGGCAGAGGAAAAACAGCACACGAACGCCAGAGTGCTTGCATTCTTTTATCTTTTTATTGGCAAAGTAAATATATTTTTATGAAGGACCAAAGAAAATATACATAATTGTAACATATGTACACCAGCTTTATAGATTTTTTTAAATTTCAAATTTACATAAATGTTGACGTTATTAAAAGATATTTTATGTAGATGTGTACCTATGTACAGTTTATTTACATACATTCATAGGATGTGAAATATACCTGTCAAAACAAGCTAGTTGGTTTGATATTAATTTCTAGACAAGGTGAGGAATGCATTTCTAAACCAGGGCCGGGAGGCTCTAGCCAGTGCTCCCTCTCCTCCCCAGGAGGACCCTGGAGGCTGGTGTCTGGATTTGTCTAGGACTGGGAGGAGGGGATGAACCATGCTGGGTACACATGCCCACGGCTCTGTGCGTCTATCTGTCTTGCACATTTAACTCAAGCACATGCACTGCAGGACCCACCAGGAGGGCACTGGTCACCTCTCCCCCGCATCAGCCCATTGGCCAGGTCCTGACCCCCATCCTCCAATGACCTGCCATACCCTCAGTGAATCATGCTTAGTGCTGTATCTTGGACACAGCTTCCCTCACACCACAGTGCAGCCCTGGACTTTTGGCCTACTTCCTTCCTCCCAGCATGGCTCCCTGTGGGAACTGACCATTTCAAAACTGCACATTTCTTCTTCCCCAGCAATAAAGTGTTGGCTTTGGCCCATGTGGGGAGCCTAGTAGGAGAAGGGCCAGGTCCCCAGACCCAACTTCCAGCTGGTGGCTGCGGTGGAGGCCTGGCCACGGGGAAGGCACAGAGACAGGAAAGGCCAAGGCCAAGGCCGCCAGTCACACTGGGGGCCCAGCCCCCAAGGACACGCGGGGGGTGGGGTGGGGGGCGGCCCTAGATCCTCCCAGGAAAGGCAGCGGGTGGCAGGCTCTGGGTCACACCTCCAAGGCGTCAGAACGTGAGCTGGTAGCATTGTCACATCCCTCTGAAGGAGGCAAATAAATTATTGCTTTAAAAAAAAGAGAAGAAAAGAAAGGCGGGTGTGGACGGCGGGGCGGGCGCCCGTCAGTTCAGGGCGCGCACGGCGCGGCTGCTCCGCGGGAAGCGGTGCACCTTGATGTGCTTGGACAGGTGGTCGCTCCGCGCGAACTTCTTCTCGCACACGGGGCACTGGTACGGCTTCACGCCCGAGTGCGAGCGCCGGTGCCGGGACAGCTCGTCCGAGCGCGAGAACCTGCGGGACACGGCGGTCAGCGGCCTCGGGGACCCCGGCTGGGCCTTACACCGGAGTCCCTCTGCACCCTCCGCCAGCCACCGAGGCCCCGGAGCCCCGCGCCTCTGGCTGGGCCCATCCTCACCGAGGGTCAGGGCTGCCCCAGCAGGAAGGACTGGAGGCTGGAGTCCCTCCTCCTGCCCGGTTTGCCTCAGCTCTCTGAAGTCAGCATGCTAATCACCGGCTTTTCAGTCACTCAAAGTATGGCCACACTGCCAGTATCACCCCAGTCCTCATCTTCCCTGAAGGTCTAGATAAGCCCATCCACAAGGGACACTGAGGCCCAGCAAGGAGGCTGCCCCACTGATGGACCCTGCTGTCCTGTAGCAGGAGTCCCCTAAAATGCCCCCAAACCAAAATGCACTCCTGTGAGGTGCTTCTAAGCACCCGGCTGCCTTGGCATGGCCTTCTCTTGGCCTCTGCAGGCCTGGGCAAAACACTCGTATCACCAGCAAGAACCTGAGCTGGGCCAAGATGCCCAGACCCTGGGTCCTTGACCTCAGGGGTCTGAGGTTCTCCACACGTGACCCTGGCCCTGGTACTGGCAGCAGCACCCCTGCACCTCACCCCTTCCCCAACATGTATACTGTCACACACAATGAGCACACATGCATACACATACTCAAGGACAAGCAGAGCACACATTCCTAGACGCCAGGCCACTGAGCAAGAGTCAGGTTAAGTGTCACCCAGAACAGCAGTCCCCATCCCACCCAACTGGTAGGAGCTGCGGCTACCTCTGCCCTGCCCTGGGGTGGGGGCCTTGATCCTGTAGACAGGAATAGCTGGACCCAACAGCACAGGTGCTGGGCAGGGCTCAGCAGTGTCTCTACCTTCTGTGCTGCCCCAGGACCTGGGGCCCTGATCCCAGATGGGGCAGCTGCTGCACATGGAGACCACACTTCAACCCACACCCCAGGGTGTCAAGGGGGCCGGCCTGGCACAGAAAGGAGCTCTCAGTCCATTTTCTGACTCAATAAAGCTTAGTTGTCCTGTGTGCCAATTACAAAACTGAGGCTCAGAGTACTGAGGGCTGATCCAAGGTCACCATGACAGAGCAGCTGAGGCTGGAACAGGGGTCCCTGCACAGCCCCTGAGGCATCCTTCCTCACCCTGCCTGCTCTGGTGACAACAGATGGCCTGACCTCCTCCACCAGCCCCTCGGTGTGGCTCAGCTGTCTGTGACATCCATGTCCTGATCGAGGGCCTCCTACTCTCGGCTGGAGTTGGGCATACAGCTTCTGAGGAGGTGAGGTGGCCCCGGCAGGGGAAGCAGAAAGCTAAGGACACAGTGCAGAGACCATGACAAAGGCTCAAAGCAGCCAAGTCGCAGTCAGCAGGCCAGTGAGATTCACTCTTATGGCCTCGTCTTGACAGCCCCCACCCTACTGAGTACCCTGGGTGATCCTGAGTCAACGACTGAGCAATCCTGGACTTCAGTATCCTCCGTCTTCCAAAGAAGACCTTGGGTTTCCTGCCTGCCTCCTAGGCTCATCTGAAAGGTGACAGACAGGCTGAAGCAGCCCTGTGGTTGTGGTGACACTCTGGGAGGGACTGGCAGCTGAGGGATAGCCAGGTCAGAGAACAAGCTGTCTTCATTCCAGAGTGCCCTCCCTGCTGCCAGAGCATCCTGGTATCTGAGGATCTGTCCTGGGACTGAATCCTGGAGACCCCTACCTCACACCATCACACTCTCTCAACAGCAGCTAACGGAGACAACAATGGAGAGGGATGGGGACCCACTGGGTAAAGGGCAGCCTCTGAACTGACCCTGAAACCTGGGCAGGTGGCCAGCTTGCTTAGCCTTAGTTTCCCCGCCTGGAGGCAGGGAGAGCGACAGCCCTGTGCCAGAGGATTGTAAAGGCAGTGAGGCAAGCGTTCAGGGCAGTGCTCGGCTGTTGTATTAAGACTGTGAGCTCTTCACACAAGGAAGGGGTAAGGATAGGTAAGACACCTAAAAAACTAGCTAGCATTTGTTGCCCTTAACGCAGAGAAACTAAAGCAGATACCTTAAAAGCAACTGAGGCCATTAGGAAGAGGGGACCAGGAACTAGAGAAAAGGTTAGATCAAAAAGAATTAACCTAGAAGGTAACACCCACGCACAGGAAATCAATGTGAGTCAATGCCCTGTATAGCTATCCTTATCTCAACCAGCAAAACCCCTTGTTCCTTCCTATTATTGCTTATACTCTCTCTAAACAAAATTAGAGATAAGGGCAAAATAGTTTCTGCTGGGTATTGGGGGGGGTGAGGGGGGGGAGTGGGTGGTAAGGGAGGGGGTGGGGGCAGGGGGGAGAAATGAACCAAGCCTTGTATGCACATATGAATAATAAAAGAAAAATGAAAAAAAAAAAAAAAAGACTGAGCTCTTACTGCATACACAGAGCTCAGAGCAGGGCCTGGTCCCTGGCAAGTTCCTGTTGTCTGTAGGTCAGGCCCAGCTGAGTTGCAAGGCACAGAAAGCACAGAGTGCTGGATGCTTTCTGGAGCAGCCTGGGATGTTGGCATTACAGTCATAGCACCTTCATGAGAAGGTAATTTTTCCTCAAGACACTTATCCACCATCTTCTAGAAAGCCATTATCATAAACAGTCAAGTCTCGGGGATGAAACCCCTCAATTGTGCAGTGCACAACCTGTCTGACCATACAGACATGGAGCCTCTGACTACCATGAGGATGGGGCCAGAGAATGCCTCACTGCATAGGAGCAGCAGGGATACAGGGGTCAAGAGAGCAGGCTGGGAGCCAGAGCACTGGGTTTGAATCTTGTCCTCACCCCCTCTTGGCTCTGTGGCCCTGGGCCTGCAATTACCTCTCTCTAGGCCTCCTGTTTCCCCTTTGGATGTCAATGTACCTGCCACACAGGACTGATGACAGCTATTAATATGCACATAAGCTATGGCAGAGGGGATTCTTTCTGGAAGGAACAGCTTGGCCACTCTGGAACAGGATGTTCTGCTACAAGAAACAAAGGAGGCCTGTGTCTGAGAGCGGGGCAAGGAAACTTCTAGGAAGGTCGGCAAATAGCCACTTACCAGATGCTCAGTTCACAAAAGGCCAGAGTCTGGCTTCAGCCCCTCAAGGGCTCAAAGTCATGTCCCAAAAGGGGAGGAACAGGGAATCCTGCATACAAGATGACAGCAGAAGGAAGTGGAATTTGAACCTGGGTGAGCACCAGCCCAGGCAGTGAGAGGGGGTCCTTGGGCAGGGCAGGGGTGCTGGCATGTTCTGGGAGTTCAGAGCTCAGCGTCAGGGCCAGAGGCAGCCAGGAGGCAGAAAAGGAGAAGAGGCCTTGAGAGGCAAGTGAGGGTGCAGGGCTGCTGCCTGGAGCCCAGGCCCATCAAACAACGCAGCAAGCCACCCACACCCCACACATACACTGGAAGGTGAGCAGAGAGGCTGGAAGGCATACCCAGGCATATGCAGGGAAGCAGGCAGGTGGATTAAACTCCTGGCTCTCCCACTTACTAGCTGTGTGACCACAGAGAACTTACTTAACTGTTCTGGGCCTCCGTTGCCTCCTGTGTAAATGGGGACCCACCTTGTGGACCATGTAGAGCACTCAGCAGTGCCTTGCCCTCGTTGGGCCGTCACCATCACACCTGCTGCTCTTAGCTCTTTGCCCACAGCCATGAGCACAGAGTCTGAGAAAGCCACAGCCTGGGGGCGGAACAGAGTAAATGTAGCCACTTTGCTACTGCTGGAGAGTCCAAATGGGGGTACAAGACTGAGGCTGCATCCGCTCATGAACTGCACTCACAGGCATGTGACGTGATTGGTCTGTGCCTCAGTTTCCCCCTCTATAGGATGCAGGCTGGTACCTAGACTGTACAGGGCTATGAGGACTCAATAAAGTAATACGTGTGGGTGTGCAGAACAGAGCCTGGCCATTCCAGATCATTTACTACCATTCAGACAGAGGGTGTGGAGAGGCCAAGCTGCAGAGAGCAGGTCATGCTCCTAGGATGGGAGGAGGCCAGGGCACCCTGGGCAGCCCAGAGCCACTCATCTCACAGAGCCAGAGTGAGAAGTATGGACAGGATGTCTGTGCGGTGGATTGCATGCTAGACACTTAAAGGCAAGGATGGCCTCAGGAGGCCATGAGTCCCGTGGAAGGAGAGATGCAAGCAAAGCGGTTGGGTGAGGGATGCAGCTCTGAGCAGCTCAGAGCAGTGCCAGTGCACAGGTCACCATCCTCAACACAGTTACTTCTCCAGGCCGGTCCCAGCTGCCCCAAGGTGGGATCCATCCTCCCCTACAACAGCTGCAAGGGCAGCAGGCTCCTTCCTTCCCCAGTGGAAGACCATCACCATGTTTTTGGGACCCACAAATCCCATGGATACAACCCCTGGGCCTACAGATCCCTGAAGTCAAGCAGAGAACCAGCTGCCCGGAGCCAGGTGCCCTCACTCCCCACTGCATGGTGCCTCTGCCTCTGTGCCCCACCCCCCCGCAAAGGTGCACTGCCTGGGAGAAGCCCTCTGGAAACTGGGATGGGCTGCCTGGTGGCCTTGCTGTGCTAAGTGCACCTCCTGCAAGAGCACCACTCTGCACTTTGGGGCACCTTGGAACCATCCTGCTGTGTGTGGGCTCGGACAGAGCGGAATCTGTGCTGAAGAATCCACTCTCTCTCGCATCCCTCCTTCAGCTCACCACGCCTGAAGCCATGTGACGTGCCTCCCCGAGGCACACGTGGGGCTGAGGGTCCTATCTGCTGTCTGGCTCTGGGACACCAGGAAAAAGCAGGCCCTATCATCCTGGGAAGTGGTGGAGCAAGTAGCCTCAGCCCTGCCCGGCTTCACTGCAGCTGGAGATCCACTCACCGATGGTCAGCACTGGCCAGGAAAGGATGCTGGGAAAGGTGAACCTGGCCTGAGTCAGGTGCTATACAGGCAGCTGTCCAATGGCAGCCCACCCTCTCTGTAGTCCCTCATGCACACCAGGCAAAGGCACAATGAGTTCCCTTGGGGATGGGTACCTCCAAGGGCATTGTCCCCGTGTATGAAAGTGACAGGTGCTGTAGAGCACACACTCGGGCTCCACCCTAGATAGGAAACTGAACGTTGGCAGGGGCACTGCTCTCGCGGCACAGTAAGCTGGTGGCTAATCCAGGGGTGGGACTCATGACCACTGCCCCACTACCTTCTCCTAACAGGGTGCCACAATGCTCTCTTCTCTTCTGTCAAGGGCACCCCCATGCCCGTTCCCTCTGGCTCCTCCTCCACAAGCCTTGACTACCACGCAGCACACCATCTACTGCCACATCTGATTCTGCATGGGCTCACTACACCAGGATGTGTGGTCAGAGAGGTGGGGACACCAGGACTAGAACCCTGTGGGGCTCTCAGTACATCTGAATGGGGGTCAGGGTGGGACCAGGTAACAACCTCTCAGAAAGGGTCTCCACAATCCAAGACACTGTTTGGGAAAGCCCCTTTCTGACCCACTTGTGCCCAAGGGAAAGTGATCACCAGCATCACACCTCACAGTGACAGCTCCCATCCACAGCATGGTTTGGCAGACCAGGACCCTGCTTGGGACCAATGCTCATGGGCCCTCACAACCAGTCTGTTCAAGAAAACACAAGGCACAACTACTTCCACACCCACATTTACAGGCATGCACACAGCAGGCCTACCACACGTACCAGGTGCAGAAGCACACGTGGTTATACGTCCCAGACACACAGGAGGACAGGTATACACACAGACTACACACCCATGGTGTGAGCCACCTCTCTCACACTCACACAGAGCGACAGCCAGAACAGCAAAGCCAAGGACTGAGCTGGAAGCGCCTGCCACCCTCCATGCAGCTGGAGCTTCTTTTGGGATGGGTATCCCAAGCTGAGGAGGGCCTAGCAAGGTATCCCTCAGAGTGCCATGCACTTGCAGACTGCCTGCCTTCCAGGATTTTTTTTTTTTTTTGGGTGGGCTTGGGGTTTGAACTCAGGGCTTCATGCTTACAAAGTAGGCAATCTCAAAGTAGGTGCTTTACCACTTGAGCCACACCTCCAGTCCATGACTGCCTTCAGGAAAGGTGGTCTTGCCCTCCTGAAGGTGAGCAACACCTGGGGCCCAGAGGAGGGTGATGCACAGGGGCCCATCAGTCCCTGGCACCCAAAGGCTACATATCCCTGTGCAAGGCCCCTACCCTTTGAGGGCTGGGGTAGGTCCCCCCAGCCATGTAGAGCAGAGAGCCTGGAGGGTTCTCCCACCTCTGCCCCAGCATAGCCAGCCAGCCCAGCCCTCCCTCTTGGTTGGCCTTTGTGCCTTCTTAAACACACCTCCAGGTCCCCAGGGAGGAAGCAAAGGCCATGCCCAGCCCACAGAACACCAGTCTGTTAAAGCTCACCACCCTGACTGGAGAGGCAGTATTTGCAGGATGTAAGGCCGGCAAACCTTACAGAGTGGTGTGACCTGGGACAAGGTTCGTGGCCAGTCTGAGCCCCAGTGTCCTCAGGTGTGGGCTGGGAGTGGTGGTACTTACCCTGTGGTGCCACAAGGCATTGATGATGGTGCTGTGTGCCATCATTCACAGCTGGCCCAGTCAGCACCCCTGCCCTTCTGCTGCAGCTTTGGCTCTCAACCCTCACCCTCATCCCACTGGATTGGGATACCCAGCATGCAGCACAACCCATGGCAAGCCTTACCTGATCATTAGGAACCCAGAGACCAGGTGGCTTCCGGCTTTAGTAATTGCAGGGACAAGGAAGTCTCTGGGCAGCTGTGCCAGCTCTGGCCCAGTGCCCTACCTGCCCCTCTCTGCCTTCCTAATCACCTTATCTAATGGTGGAGAAAATGGCCTTGGCTACACACCCAAGCAAGCGGATATGAGCAGGCCTCGAGGGCCACCTGGTTTAGTCCCACATACTGACCTCCAGCCGCAGCCCGGCCAGGTGCAGGCGAAAGGCTTCTCGCCTGTGTGCCGGCGCAGGTGGGCCTTCAGGTGGCTGCTCTTGGTGTACATCTTGCTGCAGCCAGGGAAGGAGCATTTGTGCATTTTGATGAGTTCTGCTGCTGGGTTCTTGGTGAACTTCTGGCCTACCAGGAGACCAGCAGGGCCGGGCCCCAGAGATCCCGACCCAATGGGCTTGGCGGCGATGGGCACAGGGGCAATGCGCACAAATTTGGAGGGCAGGTTCAAGTTGGAGGAGGGCACCACCTGGGGCACAAGCGCAAAGGTCTGCCCCTGAATGTTGACCAGGAGCTGGGCGACCTTGACGTTCTCAGGGGCCTGTCCAGGGGAGGCAGGCCCTGTGCCTGCCTCGTGCTTCACAGCCATGGGCTGGATCTGCAGCAGCACAGGGATAGGGCCATCGGGTGCCGGCCCCTCACCTGGGCCCTGGGTGCCACCTGCATTGGTGTCCCCTGGTGGAGGAGTACAGCGCTCTCTCCCGCCAGACCCAGGGTGCAGGTGGCTCCTGTGGGGTCCAGCTGAGAGCTGGCTGCAGGCCTCCAGGTCCTTGCTGCTGCTCTCTGGAGCCTCCCTGACCTCTGGCTCCATGTTCTCCTCCAGGAACTCTTCAATCTCCTCCAGGGTAGGCTGGAAGGGCCTGGGGACATCATCGGAGTCACCCAGGGGGAACTCAGGGAAGCAGAAATGCTCCCCCTTCACAGGCATGGGTGCCCTCCGCCAGGCCCCCCAGGTCACTGGGCCACTGCCATCTCCAATGCTCCCACTGCTACCACTGCTGCCCAGTGTGGCCTGGGACAGCAGGAAATCCAAGATGCTGTCCTGGCCCTCGGCACCCTGGCCTCCACTGTAGCAGGAGCAGTGAGCTTGTGAGTCAGGGCTGGCGCAGGAGCAGGGGCTGGAGGCATCGCTGTCGTCCTCTGAGACGGGTGAGGGTAGCATGTGGTACACCCGCCGGCTGGCCAGCCTCTCACCCAGATAACCCACTGGGCATTTCGGAGACGAGAAAGTCTCGTCCACTGGAAGCAAGTGGTCCACCATGCTGGCCTGGCCAAGCCGGTGGCAGCTGCAGAGAGGAAACAAGGGAGGTCTGGTCAGAAGGACAGGGCACTCACTGCCACCTTGTGGGATCATGTCTACCACCCTCAGTCGCTTGCCCATAGCTTCCCTTTGCCAAATGCCTGGGTCCGGCCTCCATCCCATGAGAGAACAGGGCCTGCAAGAGTGTTTTCTGAAATTGCACCACTCTGTTTGCAAAAGAACCCTCTCCAGGCCCATTGCTCAACCCAGGCCCTTCTGGTTTCAAACAGATTTTCCAGAATGATCCTAGAAAAGAACACACTCGTGTCTGTGAACGACCAAGTGAGTGTGTGGCAGAGAGGCCTCCTGGCTCTCTGAACCCCAGAACGGGCCCAGGTTGGGGAGGTATGTTTGGGGAGGTACCACACGTTGGGGAACCTAACCTCAACCCCTCGCCTGCTGAGTCACAGAGGAGGTGGGAGGGAGAATAGCCATTTGCCTTCTGACCCCATGTTGTTGGGGCTTGCCAGGTTGAGCAAATAAAAGTACAGGCTGCCTGTTAGATGTGAATTTCAGATTAAATAAAAATAAACTATTTTCAATATAAGTATGTTCCCTGTGTGGGGTGGGACACACTGGTATTTTAACATTGTTTCTTCTTATATTCAAATATAAATGCCTGTATTTGAATCTGGCAGCTACAGTTTGAAGATTAAAAAAAAAAAAAAAAAAAAGCCCAGCAGTAAGTACCTGTTCCCCCACCCAAAACGGGAAGGCTCACCCAGAGCCCAGCCTGACCCTCCCTTCCCTGAGCAGATGTGAGGATGGTCAAGCAAAACACTCTCAACGCACCCTGGCTTCCCATCTTGCGAACGAGGCCCCGCCCCTCTGGTGGTACAGTCCACAGAGCCAGGAGCCCCAGTTGTGCTTGGTCTCCTTGGGCCTCACCGCCTCTAGTGGGATAGGAAACAGGACCACCCCTGGGCCAATGAGGAAGATGTCCCCTGCCCTGCACCCATGGCCACTGCTCTTTGGTCTGGGACACTCACCGCCTTGGGAGGGCTCAGTTAAAGCCCGTCTCCCCTCTAGCCAGTGTGTTCCATGTCTCTGCTGTGTCTCCAGCACTGGGTGCAACACCTGGTGCCCAGGAGGGGCTCAGAGGATGTTGACAGAGAGGAGACGCAAATTCTGCGTCCTCTGAAGCCAAAGGCCATGCTAGATCTGGCGTCCAAGAAGAGTCAACAGTGTCCGGCTGGGATGGGGCCACCTCTCTGGACCTTTGTCCCTACCCAGTGGCCACAGTGGACTGTATGTTTATGAGGTTGGGAAGGGTAGCCAGAGAGTCTCTGCTGCTTGGCATCACCTCTGAGCCCACCCCCTTGTCTCCAGGACCACTCCACACTGGGCGCCTGGCACTGCCCAGGAGGCAATAGGCCAGCAACACCATCAGTTATGACCTTGGGAAAGTCCTCACACCCCCAAACCTCAGTTTCCCCATCTATTCCATGCTTTGATGACCTCTAAGCCTATTTTCTGCTTAGAGACACCAACCCCTTTGACCTCAGCTCCCATACTGCCTGGAAGCTTCACAGAGCTCCAGGACCAAGTCCCAGGGCAAGTTTGCCAGGAGGCCACCTGGCTCTTTGGTTTAAATACTTGTTAAGGATTTAAACCTGGGACTGTGTTTTAAAATGCACACATTCAGCCTGGTGCAGTGGCTCAAGCCTGTAATGCTAGCTACTCCTGTGGTAGAGATAGAAAGGATTATAGTTCCAGTTTGAGGCCAGCCAGGGAAGAAAACCATTCATGAAGCTCACCAATGACTGGGCATGGTGGTGTGTGCCTGCCACCCCAGCTACACAGTGAATCACAAATGGGCCTGGACCCTCTCTCAAAAATAACCAAAAAGGGCTGAGGGGCATGACTTAAGTGTGAGACCCTGAGATCAAACCTCAGTACCCCAAAATAAACAAATAAAAAGAAAATATACACAACCTGCCAAAAAGCGAGGCTGGACAGAGCCTGCACTCCACTCTAGGACTCCCAACCCCCTTATCCACCCTCTGAGCACAGCCCCACTTCTTATCTGCAACTATGAACTGGGCGACCTCAGGCAGGTGGCACAGCCACTCTGTGTCTGTCTTGGTTTGTGTGATGGGCTGCTGCCAGCAGGGCCTGGCTCCCAGGGTGCATGTGCATCCACTGAGCTAACAACACAGCGCCTACGGGGTCTGCACACACAAGCACAGAATCAGCACTTTTAGGTGAGCTGCAGTCCCGCTGCCCCTCTGCTGTGCCAAGGAAGGGGGATGAATGCTGCAGCCTTCTGAGGCCCCACACTGCCTGCCTAAAACCTCCCCTGAAACGTGACCACTAGCTGGATCCACCACAGTTTAAGCCAGGGCCTTCCTGTTAAGTGCTAGCCACTTCTCCAGGCAGGCGTTAATTTTAACGACAGACACTGAGATATTCCCCAAGAAACAATGAAAATGAAGTGGTGGAGGACATCCAGCAGGATGGAGGCAGAAGGAAACCAGCTCTAATGACCTCTGAAGAAATGGGTTCAGGGCCTCAAGGCTGCCCACTGGCCCAGGCCCTGTTCTTCCACCACTCCTCCTCCTGCTGCTCCATATCCACTCACCTATGTCACCTCACCTGAGCCACTGCCCTGCTATTCCTTGTGTGGGTCCCCCTTCCCCCAGCCCTGGGGTGGGGCTTCTTGAGATCTCAGCTCACAAGTCACTCTGGTACTCTGCCCCACATTATGTAGAGGTGCCACTGTGGGAAGCTCTCTTGCTTGTGTTTCTGCACTTTGCTTCCTGTCTTCCTCCCCACCAGAATATAAGTTGTTTGGACTGTATAGTCCAAGACCTTTTCCCAAAGTCAAAAATAGGGCCTAGCAGAATTTGCTGAACCAGTGTGAAGGAAAGGTGATTCCGGGAGCCAGGAGCAGGGTGGCCTTGGTCAGGCAACAGGGTCTTAATGCAGAGTTGGTGTCCCCTGAGGAGAGACACTGTAGCACCGAGAAAGGGGTCTAGGACTTCGGGTGCAGGCCTTAGAAAGTGAGTGCCTGGGCTGAAGCCGGCTCTGGTCCCTGAAAAACAGCAGCACGTGGCGCAGACTGAGAGGCAGGCGGCCTGCAGGGGGAGGGGACGAACTGTTCCGGGCATAGTCCCGGCGCCGCTGGACTCCGCCCCCTCTCTCAGCCGGCCAGGCCTGCTGTTTATCCTCCCGGGGACACAGCGGCTGTAGGAACAACATGTAATTGATAACAAGCCGAGTGCTGGCCAAGGGCTTGCCATTGGGTCAGCGTGCAAATCACGGGGGTGGCGGGTGGGGGCCGCTCTTCAAAATAAGAGTCTCCTCTCTGAGCTATCTGAAGGCCCCAAAGTCGCCTGGTCCCGCCATTCTCGCACCTGTAGGGCGGCTGGGGCGCCCCACGGGGCCACCTGGTCCTTGGGAGGGAAGCGATTTAAAGCGCTCAAACACTGGGGGAATCCATCACCTTCGTGGGACCGTGACAGCATTGTGCCTTCCTGGAGAGGGGGGTTCTGTGGATAACAGCACAGTGGGAGGGAAGGGGCAACAAGAGGGCATTAAGAGCATGGGGGTGGCCTCTCCTCTGACTCCGTGGATGTCACCCCTTAGCCATTTCTCTAGTAATATTCGGTCTAAGGGGGCAAGGGGACTTTGCGTGCCGGGGGATCTGAGCGCAAGTCCTGTGTACGGGTGCGGGTGTGAGTTTATGTCGTATGACTGCGTGCGCGGGGCGTAGTGATCGGCGGTGTATGTGATTTGTGCGTTTGTCCGCGAAGTGCTCGCGCGTGGAGCCGCGAGTGCCCACTAGCGAGTGGGAACTTGCGTGGGAAAGGAAGGCATGGGGAGCTGGCTCAGACCCTTCAGTAGAACCCCGGAGCGCGGTCCGCTGGGCACCGTGTCCCCGGCCGTGCCACCCCCTCCCTGCCACTGCCACCGCAGCAGTGACCGATAGTAACCCCTCTGCCACGGGCCCCTCCAGCCCCCACCAGGCCCGCCAGCGCGTCCTCCGCCCCCTCCTCTCGACAGGCCCTGCCCGGCGCCCGCCATATGGGAGGCCGGCCCGTAAGGCGCGCCACGGACACACGGGGCCAAGGCTGAAGCGGCGGCGCAGGCCTTAGCAGGAAGGTGCTGGTGGGAGACTGGGGGTCACCCACCCATGGGCTGGACCGACCCCTGCCCCACGCGGAGCTCGCCCCGCTCCTCCGACATCTCGACACTCGCGCCGAACTCGGACAGCGCGTTCCCAAGGACGGCCAACGCCATCCCCGCATCCCGGCCAGACCCCTGGTCACCCCGGGCCGCGTCCACGCGGCCGTCCGTCCCCGCCGCGCTTTCCCACCTGGACTTGGCGCACGCCTGGCCGGCGGCCAGGCCCCGGTGGTTCCGTGGCCCGGCGGCCCGGGCAGGGCTGGGGGCGGTGGCTCGGTTCGGGTCTGGCGGCGGCCGCGGGCTGAACCGCGGGTCCTGCGCTCGCTTGCCCGCTGCCCGCGGTCGCTGCGGCGGAGCCCTCGCCGCCCGCCGCTCTCTGCGCTCTCTCCGGGCCGCTCACGTGACGCCGCGGGCGCAGCGAAGGCTCGCAGGAGGCTCGGCCTCGGGCGCGCGCCCCATTGGCCAGCGCAGCGCGTCACGCGCCCTGCCCCGCCCCGGTCCCGCCCCGGCCCCGCGGGGCTCCGAGCAGCCCACGCGCCCGGCGCCAGCGAGCAGCTGGATCTGCGCGCAGCGGGATCGGCGGCCCGGTTCGCCACCTTCAGCCAGCTCCCTGCTCCCAGCCCCTCGCGATGGACACGCGGCGTCCACGAGGGTCCACTTCCAACGCTCGGTCCCAGGTGAGCGATACAGGCCTCAGGACTTACGAAAAGCCCAGAGATGGTCAGGAAGGGCAGTCCACGTGGGGCGGCTGCTGTGGGGCCTGGCTAGCTCAATCTTCCCCACAACCCGCTCTCCAGCCCTAGAGCGGCACCGGCCGCCGTGTTCTGTTAATTGCCAGATGGAGTAGGGAACTTGCGGGGCGGGGGTGCGTATTGTTGGAGAAATACGGTATCTGGTCTTTCCGCTAGGCAATCACGGTTACCTTCCCGAGAGTGCGCGCGCGCCGCACTGCCTCCGGGCCTCCGGGATGGTCGGAGGAGGTTTGCTGGACCCCGACCCAAAAATGATTGTCTCAGTCTGTCTGCAGCACCTTCCTAAAGACTGCACCGTGCTTTCCAGTCTGCAAGAGCGGTTCAGTCTGTCTGAAGCAATCCCGGGACGCATTTGCGCCCAGCTTAGATGGGAGAAAGAGTGAAACTCTGGGTGTTTGCCCAAGGGGAACACGTGAGCGGAGGGTGCTGTGTACCCTGCTGCGCCCTTTAACCCACAGTCTAGTTGGATCCCCAGCCGAGCATTTCACAGATGAAGAAACCCACTCGGTGGGGGCGTGGGTCTTCCCCAGCCACACAGGAGCAAGGAGAGAGAAGAGGGATAGGCAGTGCCAGGTCTGCCTGCCCACAAGGCATCTTGCTGACATTCCCAGGAACACTGGACTGAGATCCTTGAGCTGGGCTTGGTTCTTTTCCCCCTGGCCAGGAGAAAGGGGAAGCACTTTCACGTGACTCAAGATCTGGGGACCCTGTCTCCAGGCCAGTGCTGGAGAGGAAACTCCTGCATCCAGCAGCAGTCAAACAAAGCTTGGCCAGAGGCTTGGGAAGACCTGTGTTTGAAGATGGTGACAGGCTTTACAGTTCACACAGCGGGAACACACTGGCTAGTGTGGGCAGAGCAGGTGGAATTTGCACATTTTAATGAGAAGAGATGGATCTGTAAAATTCAGCTACTCCCATCTTGTCTGGGCAGGGCAGGGTTAGGCAAAGCCCTTCTCCAGCTGCCCTCCCTGCCCTGGGCTCTTCATTCCTCACATGCCCTCAGTCCAATGTCTCCCATCCCCTGCGGGCAAAATGCAGCCAAAGGTCAGGTGCTCAGAAACAAAGATGCATCCTGAGTAGCTTCTGCACACAGGGAAGACACCACAACTTTCTGGAGACTGAGGAACAGCCAAGGAGAGCCATTGAAATCTGAGTCAGAGCCTGTCCTTCCGGTATCAGAAACTCCCTGTGGCTTCCACCTTACTCCATAAGTCCAAGTCAAGTTTTCACTGCAGTATACTCCAGGACACAACTTCCCATTCCATCCCTCAGCTCTTCTCTCCCCGTCACATTACTCCAACCACATGGCCTTCTTGGGATTCGTCAGGCATGGCAGACCCTGCCTCAGGACCTTGGTGTTTACTGTTCCCTCTGTCTGGATAAGCTCTTCCCCCCCAGAATTCACATGACTTCCTCCCCTCCTTCAGGTTCTGTTCATGTGCTAGCTTCTCAGGGAAGATGTTACTCCATCTAATGTATTAGCACCACCCCCCCCAGACACATTATTTCCTTTCCCTAGCCTGGTTATTTTTTTTCTAGGTACTTACTACCTTCTAACTTATCACATAGATGACCTTTTATTTTATTTACTCATTGTCTCTCCCAATAGAAGGTCAGTTCCACCAGACCAGTGGTTTCTTCTGTCTTCCCATCTCCAGCACTGAGCAGATAGTACGTGCCCAACTGTGGAATTCAGAAAGACTTAAAGCAAACGGTCAGTTTGAAAGAAATTAAATAAGGTTCAAGAATTGACCCCATACAGGTAAAAGAATTGCTTCCTAGAGAAATTAGAGCAATTTTCTGGCAAGAGAAAACTCTAGAGACTGCTGGCTTCCTACCTGGCTCATTCTTTCAGCACTGCTCCAGGCCTGACTAACTCCATTCATCCTCCAGATAGAAGCTCCAAGACTTAGTCCCACGCCAACCCTACTCTTGGCCCAGGCTAACCAGTTCTGCCTGTCCTTTGTAGTACAGGGCCCAGAGTCTGGTATGGGCCCGGTGTCTGTGTTGAATGAGTAAGTGAATGCAGACATTGGCATCCTGATTAGCTGAAAGGTGTGTAACAGCTAGATACACATTTACCCCGTTCATATCTAGGGCTTCACACATGCTAGGCAGGTGCTGTACCAGTCAGTGACATTCCCAGATGCAGAGAGAATTGATCTTTAAGATTTCTTGCAAGGGAGGAGAGAATGATGACAGGTGGTCCTCTTTTGAACAGAGAAGACAAGGAAAAGATTTGTCTCCACAGCACCTCTAACATAGAGCCTTTGACATACTTTCCCTCCAAAGAAATTCCCTCCCTACTTCTATATAACCAAGCATAGTAAAAGGCCTTAGAAGGATATGAAGTTCCTAGGCTCTGAGAGCCTGAAAAGAGCATCTACAACAAATTTTTGGCAAATCCTGACAGGTCCTGTCTTTTCAGAAAATCTGTAATTTTTTTTGGTGGGCAGGGGGAAGGCAGGTTGTTTTTGTTTTAGAGACAGTGTCTCACTATATGGTCCAGGGTGGCCCTGGAACTTGTGATCCTCATTACTCAGCCTCCTGAGTGCTGAGATTATAGGTACACCCTTCTGTACTTTTGTTTTAAGATATCTTAATTGCAAAATTTATACAGCTTTAAAAGACAAAGAATATAAAGAGTATTGTTTGAATGTTACATGACTGCCTGAAAAATCCATTTGGGCTGGTGCCTTTTTCGGGTGTTGATCTTTGGTCCATCCTTGAATATCACACGTTTTCAAGCTGTGTTTGACTTTAGACTCTCTTTTAATTATTCCTGCTCCCTGCTTGGTGGGTCCTTTTAATCTGAAAGCCCAAGTCTTTTCTTCTGTCCAAGAAAATTTTTTTCCTATTTCTTCTTCTTCCCCCTAGATATCTGCATGGATCACTACCTCACTGTTCAGCTCTCTGCTCCAAAGCACCAACCACATGCTTCCCGAACACCCATCAAAGCAGCACTTCCACTGCTTTCTGTTCCCCAGCCTTGATTTATTTTATCCCATGGTCTGGATTTTGTGTGCTTTGTTTATTTATCTGTTTATTGACTATCTCTCTCACTAGCCAGCAAGCTCCTTAAGCATGTACTTTTGGGGGTTTTTTTGTTTTGTTTTGTTTTGTTTTCTCCTATGTCCCCAGAACCTAAGACAATGCAGAAATATCTGTTGAGTAAAAGAAGTGAAAGATGAGATTTTTTTTTCTTCTCACTCATGGTAAAATTTCTGATAGCCATAATGTCTTTGGAGAAGTTCCTCAATGAATGTCATCACATCCTTTATCCCACACACATGCCACACCTCCCCCTGTGTCCCAAGCCCTGCAGTCTCCCAGCTGCTGACAGTGGGCCCCACCCCTCCTCTCTTCTGGGCTTAACCTCTTCCTAGGCAGACATACCTCAGCAGCTCACTTCTGGGATTAGGACCAACAGTGGCCCCATGGACTCTCTGGTTCTGCTCACAGGGGTTGTCCTGAGCGCCCCCAGGGCTGTCAGCCCTCACTGCTCACACAGTTACTCAGGAGTGCTTACCTGTTGGGCTCTGTAGCAAAGCTCACGTGCAGCATCTATGAGTTTTGGGCATCCAGCCCTCGCCCCACCCCTGCTTCTTGCCCTAGAATCCTCCCCAGACATCTCCCCTGTGTGCCTTGCTGTGTTGCAAAGCACGGTGGCCAAAACTGAGCCCATCAGTCTGGCCCCTCTTGCCCTGGTATATGAGTCTGCCACAGTGGCTGTAACAAATACTAGAGACAGAGATGCATTCCTCCAGTTCTGGGGACTGAAAGTGCATGGCCAAGCTGTCACAGGATAGATTTCACCTAAGGCTCCTTGTCTTGTAGATGACTGTCTCCTCTTTGTTGTCACATGGTCTTCCCCGGGCATGTCTGTGTCCTGATCTCCTCTTATGAAGACACAAGTCATATTGGATTGGAGCCCACCCCAGTGACCTCATTTTACCTTAATCATCTCTTCAAAGGTCCTAGCTCCAAAATACTGCTACATTTTCAGACTGGGGCTTAGGACTCTACCCTGTGAATTTTGGGGTACAACATTCAGCCCATAATTCCTGGGCACCTCAGGTCCACAGCAGCCCCAGAGCTGCCTTACCCGGAGCCATGTCTAGTGACCCCAGCCTAGTTACAACTGATCACCCGCTATACCGCACAAGCTATGTCCTGCCAGCTTGACCTCCTTCACCCTCACACAGTGGGACACAGCTTACCCAGGGCGTCTTCCTGGCTGAGAGCCCTACATGGCTCCCTGTGGGCACAGGACAGGCCCCCCATTCTAATTTACCCTGCCATTCAAGGGTCTGCCTTACATGACCCTTGCCAAGTGTCCTCTCGCTCCCACATGAAGGAAGAAACTTGTCTTGGACAGGCCCAAGCCAGGACACTTAGCCTCTGCCTGAGTTCAACTCCTGGCCCTGGCTCTTTTTGGCTGTGTGACTCTAGATGAGCCCTGTCCTTCTCTGTAAAGTGGGGATGGCTCTATAGTGTCTCATCCATGGGGTTCCTGCTCAGATCCCCCACAAAGGCTGTGGCAGAAGCGGTGCTGATGGAGCCTCCAGACGCCCCAGCTCTGTACCCAACACAGCCCCCCATGTGAGGACCCAG